CTCTGGAGGGAACTAAAAACTGAGGCCTTGTCTATTTAAAATGCTTTCCTGAGCCTGACTAGAGTTCAGTCAAGCAGTCTCTAGGTAGGCAAAATCAGGTAAAATCAGTTTGGTCCTTACAGTAGAAGGAGGAGAAAGAATAAATAAATAAATAAAAACAATGAAACAAAACAAAATCAGTGCAGCTGTTGGACCCAAAGAGGAGAAAATTCTGGAGAGCTCCTACAAGCTAAGGAACTCACAAGGTGGGTGTGGGCGGGATGTGACAGCAGAGGCCCTGGCCTGAGATGGACTTCCTGTTGGCCTTGGTGTTGCCTGTGTTCAGGCACTCAATCTAGAAGTCGTTTTGGTGTCTGTTAGGACCACAGGGCAGCTGGGGGCAGGCTGACTGGTTAAATGCTGCTCTGGTGGCTCTGTGGGTTCCGTAGGTCTGGAGTTGAGTCTGCCAGAATCCAGGCACCAAAGCAACGCAGCACAGCAGACCTCTGCCTCACACTAGCGTGGCTCCAAACTCCCAGAAAGCAGTGTCTGTGATGGGGATAGATGGATATGAGACCTGACCACCCCTCTAGTCACCAGGGAAGTGTGAGGAAAAAAGAAGAAATTGCACCTTTTCTGTCACCTAAGTCGATCCGCTGTGCCAGGCCACCTTCTGTTACCAAACCTGCTCGCTGCGTGGTCGCCCATATTTGTCCAGCTGTTCGCCAGTTAGTCTCCCTCTCTCACCGTCCCTGCTCAGCTTCTCCTCCCAGTAAACACTCAGCCCTCTTCTCTAACCTTTTCTCTGAAGTTTAGGGTTCCTGAATTTTCTTCTGTATCTGTTTCATTTGGTCTCATATCTATGTTGTAGGGGGTCCGTGTAGTGTGACTTTCTAGTCTGCCATCTTGTGGAAAGTACCCCCTGCTATTTGTTGATTAGGCCAAGCATGCTTTGCCTAGATGTTTCATTGGCACATTTCCCAGCCTCCTTCAGGTTTTTGCTTCACCTCAGTGAAGTCTACCCTGACTATTCTATTTAAAAATGAAACCTCCTCAGTACTCCTCTTATCCTATTAGATCATTTTTTCCCTGTGTACTTTACCACCTTCTTGTATGCTAATAATCTGCTTTTGATTTTTGTTGTCTTTGTTCCTCAATAAGAATTTAAGTTCCATTGTAATAACTAGAGTGTTTGTTGGAGGCACAGTAACTTGCCCTAGAGTCCTGGTATGGCGCTATAGGATAAGCACTGGACCTCAAGGTTGGTTTGAACTGCATGGTTGGCAGTTCAAATTCATCGGTTCCTCCTTGAAAATTCTATACAGGGTCTTTATGAATCAGAACTGACTCCACAGCACTTAACAACACCACCAGTAACTTGCCCACATCACACAGCTGCCAAGTGGAGAGGTCGGGTATTAAACATAGGCAAGTTGGCTTTAGAGTTCAGACTCTCCACCACAATGTTAGGGCCCTCACTGAACTGCTCTCCTTGGCATATATACTTTATGAAAGAAATCTCTTTTTTTTTTTTCTTTTCATGGTCAAGTCTGATGATTTAAAGAAGAGAAGAGAGCCTCACATCACAGCTTTAAGGTAAACAAGTAGTCCTATTTGTTGGCTGCCTAACATGTGCCAGGCCGAGTACCAGTAGTAAGTTCTTTAAATGGTGTGTCATATAATCTTGGTTCACCGTTTTAAGACCGTTTTGTAGAAGAAGAAACAGCCTCTGAGAAATTGATTTTTTCAAGTTTACCCAGTGGCCATTAAGTCCAGTCCGACTCGTGGCCACCTCATCTGTGTGTGTCATAGGAGAACTGAGCACCTTAGGGTTTCAGTGGCAGATTTTTCAGAAGCAGATCTTTGGGCCTTTTTTTCCAGGTCACCTCTGGGTGGACTTGAGCCTCCATCTTTATGGTTAGCATCTGAGTGTGGTACCCATTTACACCGCCCAAGGACTCCTCTTCAATGTTATCTACGTAAGAAATGAGGGAGTTAGGATGCGGACTCAGGTCTCTCTAATTCTAAGGCCCAAATTCTCAATGATATAATCTTCAACCTTATTAGTAATCAGTGAAATACAGATTATTAGTAATCAGTGAAATACAGATTAACTGTAAAGATTCCGTTTGTACAGGTTAGACTGGCAAAAAGTAAAGCCCCAGTGTTAGTACCTGTATACACTGCTACAAGTCGTCCTTGAGAAGGTGCTTTTGAAAGATGTATGAAAACCCTTGGAATTTTGTATCTTTTTTGTAAAGTAATTCCTCTTAGGAAAAACAAGTCTGTACCCAAAACACTTCCCTGTAAGATTGTTGTTATGTTGTTTATAACAGTGAAAAATATATTCAAATTAAATAACCATCTGCAAGATTTGCATGTATGAACATGGTTGTTGTTAAGTACCATCAAGGGTCTCAAGTCATGTTCCTTTGAAATGTTTTATGGGTTTGGGGAACAGAAAGCAGTCTGAAGGGGCAGGCTTTGTAGGGTGAGTAGGACAAGGTTTCCCAACAACATTCTCACAGGACAGAAAGTCCTTTTTCCTTCCAGGAAGGAGCAGGTGTGCCATGATGGAAAGCAACTCTCCTTTTTCCTAGCAGTGCAATTTTCCCATTTTTTAAAAATTTTATAATAAGCTTCCATGATGGTCCTGTGTCCTTCAAGAAAATCTCCTAGATTACCCCTTTGGAATTCCAAAAAGCAGTCCCCCTAACTCTCTGAGTGACCATCTGCCCTGAATTCGTCATTGAGGTCTTCCCTACCTTCCTTAAAACACTCGATCCTTTGGAATAAGCTTGTTGCAACATTCCACTTGAGTTTTATTAAAAATTGCTTATTAGCCCTGTCCTCAGAATCATTTTTTTCCCATGGCACTTTTGTTTGACGGCACTCTAATTCGGCCCTGGGGTGGTGTTAGCACTGGAGTGCTAACAGCAAGGTCGGCAGTTCAAACCCACCAGCAGCTCTCAGAAACCCTATACAGGGTCTGTATGAGTCAGAAATGACTTGACAGGACATAGCAACAACAGTAGTGAGACTCAAACAAGTGTAGGACTGAGAGACCTTGTCTGCAGCTTCCACTAATAGTAGAGACGTGTTTAAGCACACTTTGTTTGGAACAAACCCATGAGTGTATAAACTGGAACCTTAGTACTTTTTTACTTACCACATAGAAGGCATTTGTATATTTTGACTTGTCTTAGATCCAAATGCTTCCCACAATCACTGTTTTCTCAGTTTAATTGACAACTTTTTTTTTAATGAGACATAAAACAATGGCATAATCAAAGACCTCTTAGATTGGATGTAATACATTTTTGTCGAGAGAAAAAAGTGAATACAACATTCACAGTGTGATGCCATTAAAAAAACATATTCATATATTTTGCATACATAGAACAAGGACTTGCCAGCATGGATGAACTTTTTTTAACTCTAACTGGGAGGATTGCAGAATTTTAAAAAAAAAAAACAAACAGTTTTCTTGTTACTGTGGGATTTTTTGCCTGAGTGAACACAAAATGGTTTATAGTAACTGTTTGTTTTTCATTTGCCATTTCCATACGTGATAGAAGCCTGCACTACTTATTTCCTCTAAATCCTGAAGTATTGCTGATGTGCGAACTAGCGTTTATAATATATTTCTGTTGACATTCAGTGAGCTCGCTGACTCACAACACCCCTCTGGATAAGCATTTCATGTGGGATTGAATTCCATACCCAAAGGTGGTGTTGTTGTTGTTGTTATATGCTGTGGAGCCGGTTCTGACTCATAGCCACCCTGTACAGGGTTTCTGAGGCTGGAAATCTTTATGGGAGCAGAAAGCCTCATCTTTCTCCCGCGGAACAGCTGGTAGTTTCGAACTGCCAACCTTGCGGTGTGGAAGTTCTTAATCAGTACAGAAGTCGGCTGAACTCTTTGTTTCCCAGTGGGTTCTGTGTTTTCTTTCATGAATACAACTAACTAACGGAAGCAGTGACCGGCAATAAGCCTCGCTTGTGTGACTCTCATAAGATGAGTAGAAGAACTTTTTATGGAATAAATTTGTGGAAGCCAGTTTTACCTGTAAAAAAGGAGGGGGGTGTAGTTTTGTAAAGCATTAAAACTTTGCAGAAATGTCTATCACCTGTATTGTCTGAAGTCTGGTTTAGTAATTTGTGACTCTAGCCCAGTCTATATAATTTGCAGCTGTGCTTTTGAAAGTTCTTGGCCCAATAACTTTGGACTAACTGGGCACAATGTTCTATGGAATTTTTTGTTTGAGTGCATAGGTATTTGGTAATAAAATCTTAGGGACCAATCTGGAGACTTGATATTTTGTTATAAGCACAAGTTTGTGTTTTATGGGAATTTCAACTTTGTACATTTGGGCTAAGTTGACCTGAAAACTGTTCGAGTCTCTGTGTACAATATTTTTAATTAAATCCTTTTAAATTCTTAATTCACCAAGGATAACTTTTCAGAATTGATTGTCTGAGTGTGTCCTAAGTTGTGATAAAGACATTTCAACACAGGGAACCACTTTAACTGGTAAACAGAAATGGCCAACATCTTGCATTGGGATCCTGTTGGCATCAGAACTTCTGGGAAGGATTGTATTGGTTTTAATGCAGTTAGTTAATATTTGTCATTATTGTAATTTGCAGTGCCACTCAAGAATCCACTAAATGATGGAGCTAGTTATTCAGACATGCTGAAAAACATATCTGAAAACCAGTAACTTTGGAATGGAACTTTGGTGTGATAAATTGTTATAAAGAAGGCCAAGCCACTGCCTTGGCAGATCATAATAACCGTAACTGCTATTACTGTTGACCTGATTGCCACTCAGGGCAGCCCTAGGTGGACAGAGTGGAACTACACATCAAGGTGTCTCGGGATGGGTTTGAACTGTTAACCAGTTAGTGGTCCAGTGCTTAACCATTTGCACTATCCAGGACCTCCTTACTATACACTTAGGAGAAACAAATATTGAGAAACTAAAAAATATTGAGACCTTTAGAGCAGAAATATTCTGCATTAACAGTAGGCTTACATTTCTCTGAGAAAATTAAATTGTGCAAGTTTAAACTGAGGAATATTCTCAGGAATAAACTGCAACCTGCTGAAAAAGAAATGGGTGTGGCATGGAGCCTACATGGTGAGATGACTGTTGTCTGTTCCATTTCTAGGAAAATTCTGTTTGAAGATTTCCGGGCCTGGCTTTCCGACATTTCTAATGTCGACCTGGAATCAACCATTGACCTGTCCTGTGCTAAGTATGGATTCACAGGTAAGGAAGCCAATGCCAGCAGCAGGGAAGTATTGGGCTCCATGCCCTTTCAGGGCACCACGAGCCTCAGTATAAGAGACAGCAGAGTCCAACCAATCGAGACGCTCCCATGAAACCACAGTACTTCCTTCCACCTTCTCCCCGCCCTCTCTTCTTTTCACTGGGGACCTCCTTCCAGTTCTCATTCTGAGCATATAAATGTCTTTTTTTTTTTTTTAAAGCAGTGAAGTTTGGTTTTTCACCTAGAAGGAAAACTGCTTTCTTTCATTTTACTAAATAAATTTTTAGTTTGGATTTTAGGGAAGCACCAATTTTTTTCCCCTAGGTTAAAAAGATAATTTTTATTCCTATGCAACTTGCTTTGAAGGCAAGGGTTCCCCGCAACTCGCCCATGATTTCTTGTAACTTTTGATTTTGAATTAAGTGAAGGTTTGCAGAGCAGATTATCAGTTTTACTGGAAGTACCAACTTTTTGATGGAATCTTGATGCTGCATATGAAAATCCATATTGTATACCTTTTTTTTACTTGGAAAAAAATTCACTTAAGAAAGCAAGTATAGTACAAATAATTTATTATGCGTTGGACTGGAAAGTCGGTTTGAACTGCAAGGTCAGTGGTTCCAGCTCACCAGCTTGTGCCCTTGAGTCAGTAGTTCAAAGCAACCTTGCAGTCTAGTGCTTATCCTACAGCCCCACACCAGGACTCCTGGGGACAAGTACAAAAAGATTCATACATAAGAATGCTCACTAGAATATTCGTTATAATAGTCAAAAAATGGAAAAAACTGAATTCCAAATAGGAAATCAATAGAAGGTGACTATAAATGTAAAATCCATGTGTTAGAGTAACTTTGCAGCCATAAAAAGTGATCAGGTGTGTATCCTGATGTGGAAAGACATTTGCTGCGTAATAAAACAAAATACGCCACAAAACCACTGTAAGATGCCATTTTATTTTTGTTGAGAATATACACAGCAAAGCACACACCAATTCAACAGTTTCTTCATATAGAATTCAGTGATGTTGATTATGTCCTCACCCTCCTTTTCTGGACAGACCCCACTGACAAACTCGCTGTTCACTAGCTTTCTATCTAATCTTTCAAGTTCTTAGTCTCAAAGAGCATAATGCTCTAGGCAGACATTTTTTATTTTAAGTAAAACTATTGTGTGGCCGGCAGTAAGAAGACTTCAGGGCATCTCTTATTGGTTTGAGGTTTAAAGATGATGTCAGGGCGCTGGTTTTGGGGGTTAATCCAGCTTCCATGGCTCCCAAATATTTGGAGTCCATAAGAATTTGAAGTTGTTTCCTCCATTTCCCCCTTTAATTGAAGATTTTTCTGTAGAGTCTTTGATCAGCAAGTTCATTAATGGTAGCCAGGCACCATCTAGTTCTGGTCTCCTGGTCCAGGAGATATTTGCTCATAGAGGCAGTTAGCCACACATTCTATTTCCTTCTAGCTTCCTCCTCTGTGCCTTCAGGCAAACAGAGACCAATTGTTGAGCCTGCCAAGTTGGTTTGCAAGCTTTTAAGACCCCAGGGCACTTTGCAGCCAACTAGGAGGTAGAACAGAAGCATAAACTCTCTTGTTAGGTCAGTTAACAAGGATGTCCCATGTAACCATGGCTCTAAACCTCCAAACAAGGAAGGCCATTTTTAAGTGCTCATGTATGTAGGAAAAGTACTGGAAGAATATACAAAAGTCCTGTTGTGCTTATTTGTGGGTCTGCTCTTCAGTATTCTCTATATTGACTGAGTTTTATTTCTATAATTATAAAAGAAGGGAAACAAGTGTTAGAGGAGAAATAATCGTCAGGCTGTAAAAACGTGATAGCAAACATCCCTCCCATAGCACTTTCTACTCAGTTCCATGCAGTGGCACTTATAATTCCTTGTAATGACCACACAGAACTCAGACATCAGACTCAGTTATGGGGTTTATTAGGAACGTTAACAGGCTACAACGCAGTCCAGTCAGGACAGCCATCTTTCAGCCGTGCCCACAGGCAAGCAAGCCTCTCTACCCGGCCAATGTTACAAAGCTCTTTTCAGGGCTGCTGCTAATTACCCACAGGCACTCCACTCTGCTCTAAGTCTCAACTTGAAGGCATTTGGCTCTGGCACTCTAATTAACTGCCTGAAGGCACCCCACTGCAGACTGCCCGAATTCACTCAGCTTTACTTGCTTTGAAGCCCACAGTTGTCTCTTGTGCTCTGGTTCTGCGGTCCGGTCCACTACTGCTGCTCCTCTACCACTCTTCTGTTACTTACCTGGTGTCGCAGCACCATGTCCCTGAGTCGAGGAGGCTCAGTACACAGAGATTAGGGGTCCGAAACATGCACTCCACTTTGGGCTCGTTTTTCTTAATGATAGTGAGATTCCACCTCCTTCCACCCTTGCTTCTGAGATGATGCCTTTTATAGCCACGTTAGAGTTCCAGATTTTCACAATTAACCCTATTAACAATGACTTACAGCTGTGTCATATAATCCATCAGCATCTTGCCCCACCTTCTCTTACCCAGACCCATCAGGGAGAAGTAGTTTGGTTGGAGTTACAAAGACTATAGCTACAGGAGACATGGAATAAATAGTCCACTGACTACACAGATGGGCCGATACAAGTGCAGCATCAGGTGTCAGCTGCACATGAGGCAGAGACCTAAAGTGTGCATTGACTGTTGCAGATGCCCTGCTCTGCCATGATGATGAGCTGGAAGGCCGCCGGATCGCCTTCATTCTTTACCTGGTTCCTGCCTGGGACAGGAGCTTGGGGGGCACCCTGGACCTATACAGTGTTGATGGTAAGATAGTGCATGCTCTTCAGAACCAGTTGCCACTTAGAATGAAAACTGAGTTGATATCAGCATCATCATTATTACATACCATAGCTATACTCCAAAGATAAAAGTAGATTGGATTTCAGATAAATAATCAGACCCTGCTTCTGAATACTGGCTGTGGAAAGGCAGGAACTTATAAAGCTGTCTGTGACTGAATCTGCCAGGACCAGTCATTTGACAGGAAGTCTGGGTTTTTTGGAATGACTGACACCAGCGGTTTACTTGAGAAAACGTTCAGCATTTCTCTCAGCCCTCGCCCATAATGGATGGATGGAGTAGTAACAGCAGATGTCACCGAGCAGAACTAGCAAGTAGGCGTGAACCAGATGGAAGGGGGTGGTACTGCAAGATCTGAAGGGAACATCTAGCTACCTCAGAAATCTGAGAATTGTCAGAAGAGTGACATGAGGTGACCTAGAAGTGGTTAATAATAATGCACCACATTCCTGGATGTCTTCTCTCCTGGTGCAGAACACTTTCAGCCGAAGCAGATTGTCAAGTCTCTCATTCCTTCATGGAACACACTGGTTTTCTTTGAAGTGTCTCCAGTATCCTTTCATCAGGTAAGACTGTCAGCCACAAAGATACAGAGTATTGAAGTCATGCTTTTCCAAGTCCTCTGTCAGACTTAGGGGTCTGGGTTGTTTTCATGCCTGGCCGGGAAGGATCCTGAAGTTAGGTGCCTTGTCTGGTTGTTGCCATCCTTATTCCCTGTGTTGATGTGCTGCTGGCCTTGTTCTTCCAGGTGTCTGAAGTCCTGTCTGAAGAAAAGTTACGTTTGTCTGTAAGTGGCTGGTTTCATGGCCCTCCATTGAGCAGGCCTCCCAGCTACTTTGAACCCCTTATGCCCCGGAGCCCTCACATTCCTCGAGATGTAAGGATAAATTCCTGTTGTTGCTGGGAGTATTATTTTAAGAGTTATATAGCATATCCTTTGTTTATCTAACTGTTTTCCTGATAATGAAGAGATTTTGAGCTTGCGCTAGATGAAGTGAAGTAAGAACAAAAGCTAAAGAAGTTATTAACTCACCTTTTACATTTGCTGCTTCTTTGTAAGCATGAAATTTTGTATGAGTGGATCAACCCTACTTACATGGACATGGAATACCAAGTTCAAATTCAAGAAGAGTTTGAAGAAAGATCTGAAATTCTCCTAAAGGAGTTTCTCAAGGTAGGCCGCAGCACTGTGTTCTGTAGCTCTTCTTTGGCATGAAGTCTTGCTTCCTAGTGAGTCGTGACTTTTAATTTTTTGTTTTGTTCCTAATTAAAGTGTATTTCAAATAAAATGCAGATATAATTTTAGCAGCTAACACTGACATTAGTTGTATGCTTAGTGGGTAACAGTCTTTTGGGTATTTCCCAGTTGTCTAGAGTCTTAATGGGGTACCCGCAGGTACTCACACACAGGCTCCCACACTGAAATGGAGCTCTAGTTGTCATCGTGTGCCATGGAGTTGATTCCAACTTGTAGCAACCCTCTCCTAGACTGTAACCTTCTGTGGAGCCGCTGCTAGGTTTGAACTGGCCACCTTCTGATGAGCAGCTGAGCAGTAAACCAGTGCACCAGCAACGCTCCCTTCTCTATACCTGCCATTCTGTTTATTGGTAACTATAGTCCTGGGGTGTCACTGTAGGCTAATAAGCACTGGACTGCTAACCACAAGGTGGGCAGTTCAAACTCACCAGCCACTCCTTGGAAACCCTTTACAGAGTCACTATGAAGCGAAACAACCTAATGGCTCTTAATAACAACAACATAGTGCTTATTGGTAACATATTGAATGATGCAGAAAGCATCAAAAGAAAATGGAGGGAATACACAGAGTCACTGTACCGAAAAGAAATGGTTGATATTCAACCATTTCAAGAGATAGCATATGATCAAGAACCAATGTTAGTTACTGAAGGAGGAAGTCCAAGTAGCACTGAAGGCATTATCAAAAAACAGAGGCTCCAAGAATTGACGAAATACAAATTGAAATCTTTCAACACATTGATACAACCCAGGAAGCGCTCACTCACCATCTACGCCATGAAATTTGGAATATAGCTACATGGCTTTTAATTGTTAGAGGTCCATATTTGTGCCCATTCCAAAGAAAAGTTACCCAATATAACGCAGAAAACATTAAGCAATATCATTACTAATATCCCCTGCAAGAGGAGGCCTAGGTGAGGCGGTAGAGGTGCTCAGCAGAGATGAAAGCACTGGCAGAACAGAAAGGAAGGGTTGTACAGAGCTAGTGTCAGAAGTATTGGCGCGTCGGCCAAGAGAGGCCATTTCAGTGGAATAGCACACGGCCTACCAGGAGTTTCTGCAGTGCCTCTGAGAACTTACGCAGATCAACCAATTCATGCTGATGTAACAGTGGCGGTTCTGGTCCTGGAGGACACAATACAGCTATTAAAACTGCCCAGTTAGGCTTCAAGACAGTCTGCATTGAGAAAAATTAAACACTTGGATGGAACATGCTGAATGTTGGTTATATTCCTTCTAAGTCTTTATTGAATAATTCTCATTATTACCATATGGCCCATGGAAAAGATTTTGTATCTAGGGGAAGTGAAGTGCCTAAAGTTGGAATTTAGAGAAGATGATGGAGCAGAAGAGTCCTGCAGTAAAAACTCTGTAACAGGTGGACTTGCCCATTTACGTATTTAAACAGAAAAAGGGTGTTCGTGTAAATGGTATGTGCCAATAACTGGCAAACACCAAGTCACTGCTTCTAAGGCTGATGGGAGCCCTCATGTTACCAACACAAAGAACATTCTCATAGCTTCAGGTTCCGAAGTTACTCCTTTTCAGTCACAATTGATGAAGGTACAATAGTGTATCTTTTTAAAAGTTCCAGAGCAGATGGTTGTCGTTAGTACAGGAATATTAGGTATAGAATTGGGTTCAATTTGGCAAAGACTTGGTGCAGATATGACAGCAGTTGAGTTTTGGAGCCATGTTGGTAGAATTGGAATAGATATGGAGGAGATACCTAAAAACTTCCAATGTATCCTTCAAAAACAGGGATTTAAATTGAATTTGGATGTTAGTGGTGCTACCAAGAAGTCAAATGGAAAAATTGATGTTGCTATTCAAGCTGCTTCTGGTGGTAAAGCCAAAGTGATCACTTGTGATATACTCTTGCTTTGTGTTGGCTGACGACCTCTTTGCCCAGAATTTGGAGTTGAACTAGATCCCAGAGGTAGAATTCCAGTGAATAGCAGATTCCAAATAGCTATGCTGTTGGCAATATGATTGCTGGTCTGGTGCTGGCTCACAAAGCAGAGGATGAAGGGATGGCTGGTGGAGCTGTGCTCATTTATGACAACTGTGTGCCCTTGGTGACTTACACACACTCCCTGAAGTTGCTTGGGCTGGCAAATCAGAAGAGCATTTGAAAGACGAGGGTATTAAATACAAAGTTGGGAAATTGCCATTTGCTACTAACCGCAGATCTAAGGCAAATGCTGACACAGATGGCATGGATGAGTATTGGGGGCACGTACTCCAGGACCAGGTGCTGGGGAAATGCCTGGGAATACGGAGCATCCTGTGACTTCGTAGCAAGAGTCTATTGTGCACATCCGACCCTATGAGAAGCTTTTAATGAAGCTAACCTGCTGCATCATTTGGCAAATCAATCAACCTTTAAATTAGAAGATTATGTAGATTCCCCCCACCTTTCCCCTCTCCCCTGGAATCTTCTGGGAGCTTCTGTAGAAGTCACATTTCTGAACAGGGCAAAAAAAAAAAAACTCCAAGAATTTCTAGGACTGAATTAAGAAACTTTGGGAAGGTATTTAATAGGTTTGGACAGAATGGAATAAGCCCACATCTGTATTTTTAAAAAAACTCAATTTTGTTTCAGTATATTAATATTGTAGGAAAAAGCTACTTATAGTAGCACCCTGGAAAATTTCCAACAACCATGTTTTTATGCTCTTATGAAAAGTTCAGCACCACTGAATTGATAACATAGAGCTTTGTTTCCCAGGTAGAGTAAAGTTGAAGTTTTACTTATATGCTGGAACTGAAGTATGGCATAAGAACAGTTTCATTTAAAGCAAGGTGATCAAGTTACTTAAAATTGGGGTTTCATATTGGAAACAAATTAGTCATTAAAACAAGATCCAGATATGTATAAAATGAACTGATATAAATAAAAAAGGATGTTTTTACTTCTTTTATTTAACTATCAAATTCATATAAACGATTTTTAAGGTTCCATTGTGGTCTACAAGTATGAAGGATCGATCATTGTATAGTTACCTATATTAATGGGCTTGATCTACAAAACTCATATGAACACTCAAATGTATTAGACTAGGAGATGTGAGAATATGGAAATCAACATGGTATCTCATTTACTGGTTAAAGTATATATTCTTCACATGCAAGGAAAATTTTTTGCTTAAGAAAATTCAAAAACAGTTGCACAGTACAATAGGGAACTGTCAGAAAGTTAAGCCAGATTCGGAAGAGGACATGGAACGAGGGATATCATTGCTAATGTCAGATGGATCTTGGCAGAGGATATCAAAAAGATGGATACTTTACTTTATTGACAATGCAAAAACTGTAGACTGTGTGGACCCTGACGAACTCTGGATAACACTGTGGACAAATGGGTATTCCACAACACTTAATTGTGCTCATGAGGAACCTGTGAATGATTTAAAATCAGGAAAGGTGTATGCCAGGGTTATAACCTTTCACCATACTTATTCAATCTGAGTGCTTAGCAAATAATCTGAGAAGCTGGGTTATACACAAAAGAATGTGGCATGAGGATGGAGGAAGACATTAATAACCTGTGATATGCAAATGGCACAACCTTGCTTACAAGAAGTGAAGAGGACTTAAAATAAGGATGAAGGTCATAGACCACAGCCTCCAGTATGGGTTGCACCTCAGTGTAAAGAAAACAAAAGTCGTCACAGCTGGACCAATAAATCACATCATGATCATTGGAGAAAAGATTGAAGTTGTCAAAACCTTCATTTGCTTTTGTCCACAATCAACACTCATGAAAGCAGCAATCAAGAAATCAAATGACAAATTGCATTAGGCTAACCTGCTGCACAAGATCTCTTAAAAGTATTGCAGAGCAAAGGTGTCATCAGTTTGAGGACTAATGAATGTGTGCCTGACCCAAACCATGGTATTTTCAGTTGCCTCACATGCATATCAAAGTTAGACAGTGAATAAGGAAGACCTTAGAAGAATTGATGTATTTGGAGTATGGTGTTGGGGGAAAATAGTAAAATCTCCATGGACTGCCAGAAGAACAAACAAATCTGGGTGGAATAAAGTACAGTCAGAATGTTCCTTAGAAGCCAGGATGGCAAAACTTTGTCTCTGACACTTGGAACAAGTTATTAGGAGGGACCAGCCCCTGGAGAAGGACATCATGCTTGGTAAAGGGAGAGTCAGTGAAACAGAGACCCCCCAACGAGCTGGATCAGCACAGTGGCAGCAACAGTGAACTTAATTAAGCATAGGGTGCCGCAGGCTCGGGCAGTGTTTCATTCTGTTATGCAGAGGGTCGCTATGGGTCAGAACCAATTCGATGGCACCCAATAACAACACAAAGTTTAATTTTTCCTCACATCTTGTGAGTTAAAGAGCCTGTATTACACTCTTTATTTTATAAATGCATAAAATTAAGAGACTGAGCAATTTGACATAAGATATTAAGGGAATCGCCCAAATGGGAACTAGGATCTCTTGGTTAAAGCATGCTGACAATTTGTCCATTGTTGCCTGGGCTTTACCGTGTCAGGAGGAGGGGTCCTGTGTGGAAAGGGTGAGGGTCAGCTGGAGCTTTAAGGAGCCGGCCTGACAGCGCCCTGCAGAGGTGCTACATTTGTGACCAGTGTGGGATTATAGGGAGATTAGCTAACTGCTGCTTTATTTGCTCATTTTTCAGCCTGAGAAATTTGCAAAGGTCTGTGAGGCTTTGGAGAAAGGAGACGTGGAATGGAGCAGCCAGGGTCCTCCTAACAAAAGGTAGAACCCCTCATTCAAGACATTTGCCATCATCTGTTTAGTTGCCAGGAACAACCAGTTGTTGTTGTGTGCCGTGGAGTCAGTTCTGACTTACAGTGACCCTGAACAGGGTTTCCAAGGCTGTAAATCTTTACGGGAGCAGAATGCCTCATCTTTCTCTCGCGGAGCAGCTGGTAGTTTCGAACTGCTGACCTTGCAGTTTGCAGCCCTATTCGTAACCACTACACTACCAAAGCTACCAGTAGCAGGTCCTAACAAAATCTCAGTCTTGTAACAACTTTTACCTTAGTAAGCTATACCAAAATGCAGGGAAGTGAGGTACAGATCTAATGGTCAGCCTTTACTTCTTGAGTAGTTTTACATCTCAGCATTGCTGGTTTTATAGGTTTTATGAGAAAGCTGAGGAGAATAAGCTTCCCGAGGTGCTGAAAGACTGCATGGAGTTATTTCGCTCCGAAGCGCTATTCTTGCTACTCTCCAACTTCACAGGCCTGAAGCTTCACTTCTTGGCCCCTTCAGAAGAAGATGAGATTGAGGACGGAAAAGAGGGAGAAGCAGCATCTGCTACTGATTGCTCTGAGGAAGGAACGAGCCATAGCTCCTCAGAGCAAGAGAATAATCCAGCCCTCAGCAACACCAGCCAACAAAGCGATGGCCAGACAGGCTCAGAGCCAGAGGGAATTGAAGCAAACAAAGGTAAGTTCTTAGGTTTGACCTGATAGCCATTAAGCAGCCAACATGTAATCATTATTTACTCAACAAATATTTCTTGAGCACCTACTATATGCTAGGCCCTTTTAAGGAGCTGGAGAACAAAACGTGTGATTACACATGTATGTGCACAATAGGGAAATGACAAGTGGTGCTAAGTGCTGTGTGAAGAGTGTTAGTGGGGTGATGGGCCAAGGGGCAACCAGGTGGCCTCTTGGGCTAATGAGGGTTCTGGAAAAACCTCTCGGAAGGTGTCCTGTAGCTCAGATCTGCATGGAGAAGAAGGATGGGTGAGAAAAGCCGTGTGGCAGGAGGAACAGCTGGTACAAATGGGAAGCAATGCGACTGTTCTTGCTTCAAATTACTCTAAAGCCCAAGAACCCAAAGAGAGAAAGGTTAGTGGCTCCTTTCTGCTAAGAACCAATAGCACCCTAAGGAAGTCTTGCTTGAATTTGGACAAATGGGTAGAAGGAAATGATTACTAGTAGAGGAAGTCTAATCATCTATAAACAAGATGAAGAAGAGAATAGAGCACAATTCTATGGAAATGTTGGCCTCATTGACTGAGCAGCTGCAAATTCAGCTTAGATGTTTCAGCATTTACTAAATCACATTTGGAAATCTGTGACCCAGTTCCTCTCCAGAGAGTTACCCCTCCTACTCTTTGATTTCTTGAGAACAACCCTGTACAGATAAGAGAGCTAAATCCACAGGTCTCAGACATACACCACCTAAGGGCTTTTTCTGTGCTCTTCAGCTCCCAGGACAGCCTTTCTCTGGTAGATTCTTTTTTCTTGTTAATTGGCACTGCCATTTATAGGGTGTGTCAAGCATAGAATGAATCAGGGTAAGATCAGTGGGGGCCCAGGAACCCTGGTGATGCAGCAGTTAAGCACTCAGCTACTAACTGAAAGGTTGGTGGTTTGATCCCATCAACCGCTCCACAAGAAAGAGATGTGACAGTCTGTTTCCGGAAAAATGTACAGTGTTGGAAACCCTGTGAGGCAGTTCTACTCTGTCCAAAGGGTTGCTGAGTCAGAATCAACTCCATGGCAATGGAATCGATTTTTGGATTATTCCTTTTTTTTCCTTTTTTCATTTTTATTGGAACCTGCCACTTAGAGGAAATCTATGGAGCAGCCAAGAGAGGATTTATTCTATTGAACACCAATGACAAATGCAAGGCCTTCAATTAACCAGATTGGGAAATGAGAAAAGTTAGTGTTTATAAATTTACCATCGTGAAGAAAAACTGTCACGTCTGAAGGCAGGGGCAAGTGTTGGCAATGTTTTGTGAGAGAACCCGAGCCACATCTGGACAGATCACTCTTTGTTTTAATATTATAAAAAAAAGCATCAGTTTTAGAATGCTTAGAAAACAAGTGAAAGGAACATCATAATCCCCTATAGGTATCAACTGATGACTTTCTGGAATATACAAGGAGACTTCAAGAAGTTTGAGGAAAAATAGAATTAAAAGATAAAAGTTAAAAATACAAACTATTTCTTGACATCAGCTCCACCAAGGTCAGGCATTTTTGTAAGTGATGGTACCAGCTATTTAGTCCTTCCCTAAAGAAATCAAGGTCCTGGGGGTTTAGCTGTGTCACTGCTGTCTTTCTATTATTAACGAAGAAAAATGGGTGCTTCTATGTTTTAAGATGAGGAAACAAAAAGAAGTTAGAAGGAGACAAATCAGAACCTTAAGGTCGATGCCTAAAGATTTCCTATCAGAATTCTCACAGAATTGCCCTTGTTTGATAGAGGAATGAGCAGGAGCAGTGCTGTGGTGAAGGGCTCTGGGGAACCTTTCCCCAGGCGTTTTCTGCTAAAGCTTTGGCTAAGGTTCTCAAAACATTCGTAATAAAACAGATGTGACTATTCTTTGGCACTCCAGAAAGTCAACAAAGTGCCTTGAGCATCCCCCAAAACTGTTGCCTAGATTGGTCCACTTTTACTTTGACTGGACCACTTCCACCTCTTCTTCGTCTTCTTGTTAAGTGCTGTCAAGTTGGTTCGAGCTCATAGCAACCCTGTATTGGGCTTCGGAGAAGTGACAGGTGAGTTTGAAACACCCGATTTTGCAGTTCAAACCATCCTTGTGGTCCAGTGCTTATACTAATAAAGCCATGTTTCATCTCCTGTTACAGTTCTTCCAAGAAATGCCTCAGGATCTTGATCCCACTTGTTTAATTAAAATTTCCATTGAGTTCTGTTCTTTTCTGCAGCTGATCTTTGCGCAACAGTTTTGATACCCATCGAGCAGAAAATTTGCTCAACTTTAATTTTTCAGCCAGAATAGTGTAAACTGAACCAACTGAGATGTGTATATGGTGCTGGCTAATGCTTATGCTGTTAATTGTAGAACCTCTTCAATTTGGGCATGAACAAGATTGTTTGCTTGCAAACTAATGTGGATCGTCTGCCACTGCCAGCTTCATCTTCAACATCATCTCATCCCATCTTAAAAAGAGCCGTCTTAACCAGAGAAACAAAGGACTTATACAAAGAAAACTACAAAACACTACTACAAGAAACCAAAAGAGACTTACAAAAATGGAAGAATGTATCATGCTCCTGGATAGGAAGACTTAACATTGTGAAAATGTCAATACTGCCCAAAGCAATTTACACATATAATGCAATCCCAACCCAGATTCCAACAACG